TTCTCCACACTTTTGGTAGGCTGCTCTCATGGATTCTAGTGGAGACCACTTACTGCATAGTAGATCGGCGTTGATGGACCCACTTAGAAGGAGATCGGAGGTTATGCGATCACCCCCATCGGTAACTGCTGACGAAAATGACAGAGTTAAGGATGATGACTCTGAGAAAAACTCCAATAAGTCTGCAGAAAAAAAAATAAAAACCCAAGGGTAATATGAGAAACCATCTTATACTGGAGAGTAAATGGATACTCCATCCAGTGTGAGCCAGAGGATATAAAAAAAGAGCTCACTAGCAACGGCTTTAAATGTCTAGATGTTGTAAATAAAATCAAAAGGAAAGCAGAAAATGGAAAATATATTTCAATAAAACTTCCGCTCTTTATGTTATCTTTTGACCATTCGGAAGAGATAACCAAAATCTATAAACAGTAAATGAGAGTAAAAATAGAAGCTCTTAGAAACAGCAAGTCAATTCCGCAATGCAAAAGATACCACAGATTTGGACACACACGAAAGTTTTGCCAAAGAGAAGCTAAATGTGTAAAATGTGCTTGTAATCATATGCAGCAGAGTGCAACAAGAAGGATAATTTTCAGCCCAAATGTGCGAACTGCAATGAGGCGCACCCTGCTAGCTATCGAGGTTGTTTGGTTGCAAAAAAATTGCAAAAAAGAATAAAACCAAACAAAATCAAGTTAAATTTAATGAGCAAAGAGCTCCAAAAATAGCCAGAATAACGACACCTGGCAAAGTGTTAAAGGGAGTATCGTATTCACAGGCGCTTCAGAAGGAAACAGAATATAAGAATGATAAGGAACCTGATAATAAAACTCCACAAATAAAAATAACTCACGCAGACATTATGCAAATGATGCATAGTATGTTGATTAGAATTGACAAGATCTTTAAAGGATTATTAAAAATAGAAAATAGATACTCTGAAATGTATACGGGGACACCAAAGAAATTTAGAAAAGATGTACGTAAATGAGATACGTATAGTAACTTGGAATGCTAATAGTGTTCTTAATAAGAAACGAGAATTGAAGATTTTTCTCAAAACGAGAAATATAGATATTTATTTGCTGTCGGAGGATCATTTGACATATAATACGGGCCTTAAAATAAAAGGTTATGATTGCTATAAAGTGGTACATCCCAGCAATCAGCCGAGAGGAGGTAATGCAATATAAATAAAAGAAAGTATAGAACGTAATAAAGAATTCAAGATAGAGACAACTGAAATTCAGCATATTGCGATTAAAGTTAAGTCTACTAAACACGACTTTAGTGTTGGTGCTGTATATTATCCACCAAATTAAAATTGCATTAAGAAAAATACTTTTAAAGATCTCCTGTACAAACATGGACATAGATATCTAATAGGAGGTGACTATAATATCAAACATACAGATTGGGCTTCTAGAATCGCCTCAAATAGAGGAAGAGAGCTAAGAAAATTAAAACAATCCCTCTTTTCTACTAATTATTAAGAGCTATTCGAGAACTAGGTTGTTGCTGATCACTCTACTGGCACTCCTACTTATTGGTCTCCTGACACTAACAAGATTCCTGATGTTATTGACTTTTTTATAACTAAAAAATATCAGAAAACTTATAAGCCTTGAAGATAATTATGATTTTAATTCAGATTATTCTGCTGTCATATTTAAACTAAATGAAAAAGTAACTAAAACACTAATTAAACCCACTTTGACAAATAGCACCACAGTTTGGGCGAGCTTTAAGTACGAAATAATAAACAATATTGACGTAAATATTAATTCACAATCGAAACAACAATTACAGCTTGAGTTAGGAGGATTTATTAAAATCATACAAAAAGCTGGATGGAACAATATAAAAATTTCAAAGTACAAACCGACAACAAATATCTATCCTAAATAAATAACGGATTTAATAGGTGAAATGAGAAGGGATAGACGTATAAAGCAACGTTCGAGTCACCCTGATGATAAAACTAATTTAGGTCGGCAACATATGAAAATTATATTAAGAACTTGTCAAATACAAAGGACATTGACAAAGGATTATTATGGAAGGCGGCAAAGAGCAAAAGGAGACCGATTAAGCACATTCCGTCATTGATAAAAGCAAATGGCTGTTCGGCGAGGTGAGACATAGAGAAAGCCGATTTATTTGCTGATCACTTAGAAAGCATATTCACACCAAACGGAATTACATCAGAAGTGAGTTTAGTGGAACCTATGGCAAATAAAGCAAGCTCCACTTATTCAAGTAGAAATTCCGAAAGAGATAAGATCCCTGAAGTTAACAAAATCGCCATTAGTGCAGACAAGGTATTGCAACATTTGACGAAAATCATGAATGCAGGCCCATTTCACTGTTATTAAGGAGATTGAAGCCAATAAAAGAAAATAGGGGTCTCATATCAAACCATCAGTTTGGCTTTAGAATAAAACCATTATACAATAGACCAGGTCCATAGAATAACTAAAATATAGCTTAGAAAATAAAGAAATCTGTTCTTCTATATTTCTAGACGTAGCACAGGTATTCAGCAAGATGTGGCTTAAGGGCCTTATATTTAAGTTAGGACAAATGATAGCATCCAGTTTGTAGCAATTTTATTTTCTTATTTAGCTGATAGATTATTTAGAATTAAACAAGATGCTGAATACTCCACGCTAAGAGAAAAGAGGCAGGTGTGCCTCAAGGCAGTATATTGGGCCCAACGTTATACTTGCTTCACACGAGTGATCTACCACAAATCGAAAATACTACAGTAGCAACTTTTGCTACTAATCGCAAAATAGTGAATCCACCACAAATTAACGTAAATGGAACGAACATAGTAATCCATATCTCAGCAAAATACCTAGGAATGACTTTAGATGTCAAGCTAAGGTGGAAAGAGCATATAAAAAAGAAACGCATAGAATTAGAAAATAAAAATATAGAAAATCATTGGCTCCTAAGTCGCAAGTCCAATTTTGCAATTGATAATAATATATTGATTTATAACCAAATCATTAAAGCAATATGGCTATATGGCATTTAACTGTGTGGTTAAGCCGAGAAGACTCACATTAACAAAATTCAAACCTTCCAAAATAAAGTTCTACGAGGCATGGTAGATGCGCCATGGTATATGCGTAACAGTGACATCCACAAGGGCTTAGGAATTCCTTTGGTTGTAGATAAAATTAGGAGTTATGATAGAAAGCATAGAGCTCGTTTAGCACAGCATGTAAACACAGAAGCAGCTCAGCTTCTAGACAATGGCGTTATGACACAAAGAGTTAAACGAACAAGACCTTTTGATTTAAAACAAAATACCAATTTCTTTATGGAAGGTGTTTAATTCCTGTAGGGAAAGACCAAGTAAGCGCAAAGGTTATAGTAGTTCTGCAGAACCAATTTTATCCGTTCAGAGTATAGGTGACTTTTAGGGTAGGAGACACGCCCTTCCCACTGTCTGAGGAAAAAGTCTGGTAGTGCCGTTCTTTTTCGTCTTTCGGTATTTTTTTTCACGTAATAGAACTAAAAAAAATAGTGCTTTAAATAATCCATAATTTGTAATTTTATTAAGTTTGTAATTTTGCAAAAACATTTGTTTCTGTTTTGTTGTAAATTAATATGACTTTGGATAACATAATTTTATCTGGGCCGGATTTAAGCACAATGAGTTTGTGTTTGATAAAATATAGCATACCAACAAATATTTTAAATTATCTTTTTTTTGTATAATTTTAGTTTTCCTAGAAATGATGAAATGAAATATATTTCTTTTATAGAGTAAGGGTTTGATTACCAAAAAAATACATGAAGATGTTCTGATGCCATTGAATTCAGAAAGAAAAATAAAATTTCAGCGTGAATTATTTATACTCTAAAATATTTTGTCTTAGAAGGAATTAGTATATGAAGCTCAATTAATGAATAAGGAAGAATATGACAACATACCATCATATTAATTAAAGTTGGTTAAAAATTAAACTGTTTTAGAGTCATTAAAATTTATATTTATTTATATATATTGCTATTAATATTGTTTAGAGTTGTTCAAGGAAATTGTCAAACAAAGCTGATTATATAAGAAATCATATGAGTTATAAAAATTAAACAAAATATGTTCATTTTCGAGCGTCATAAAATATTGTGATATTAAAATACTTATAAATATTTGGAATTTATAAAATAAATCTATTCAAAGAGAAAAGAAAAATAAGTTTTGTTTTTTTTTTTCACAGATATAAAGATGAAATAATTTTTTTAAATATTTTTGAACTTTTACTTTAAACAAAAATTTTAACTTATGAAGGATAAGTTATAAATTACACATATTTTATAGTAGAGGTCAGACAAGAAAATAAAATAAATACGCTCCTGTTTTGACTTTGACAATGCTCGAAACAAAGGAAAAAACAACTAGAAACAATTTGGCTTCATCGTTTTTTCAAGATGCTCCTTCCTTTAATATTTGTAATTCGTTGTAAAGTTAGTTAATAATTAGTAAAAAAGAGGGATTGTTTTAATTTTTAATTTAAAATTTAATTCCGTATGTGATATATCTTATAAAATTATGTCATTCAAAGTAACTTTAATTTGAAACCAAACAAGAACAAATGTTTTTTTTGGAAAATTAAATAATATTAAATTTTTTAAAATTTTTGATGTACTATTATATATTTTAAATTTTAAAAAATTTAATAATGCTTTAACAGGATTTATAATATATTAAGTTATTTAATGATTTATAATTATATCGATGTGAAAACATCGATAGTTTCGCCACAGTATCAGTATTGCTATTTATAGTTCATCACTAAGTTAGAAAGTTCTATTAATTTTACTGCTATTATTACAAAATTTTTACAATAATTATTAGGTATTCAATTTTAAATGAAAATTAATTGACATATGGGTATACAAGCATGTACATACAGAATTACACATGTAATATATTAGAATACAAAATAAGAAAATTAATTTTATATTTTTTATTATTTTAGTAATATTTTTGAAGTTTTGTTGACCGATTAAAACTAAAAAAAACTTGCAACTCAAGAACTAAAAGGGAATTAACTACAAATTTGCAAAATGCAATAACTTACTATTTTTATAATATCAAAATAAGTGAAATATTACAAATGTCGCTTTATAAGCCTCGTGGTACATTCGCAAGGGCAATTTTTGAAAAGGTTCATAATGATCAATATTTGGATGAATATGATACCAGAATGGTATATACATATGCAATATAATAATTTAATTTCTGGTAACATAATTAATTTTCAGTGGTACAAAATTTCAACTAGACTGCCGGATTACTTTCAAAGTAAGTTTGTATTTTTAGAGTGTCCGGATGAAATAACCGTAAATTGGTTGGAGAAAGCAAAAATGTTATCAGCCAATATTTGGATTCAGTTATGGCATACTGTGGCTAGAGTATTTTTAGGTTTTTTCATGACACAAACTGATATAAACGGCTTCCTAAAACGGGGATCAATGTTTATTTTGTCAGAAAAACAATTTTCAAATTTATTACAAATTGGGGGTTTTTACCCCCCAAATTTTGCAGAATATAAAACTGTAAGTAAATAGTGCTTTCTACAATTTAATAAATTTCCACTTTATGTTTAGGTTGACATATTAGACATTGGAGCAGGCGATGGAAAGATTACAATTCGACTGGCCAATTCAATAGCTAATATGTTTAATAACTCTTCTAACATACGAATATATGCAACTGAAACGAGTTGGACTATGAGAAATCGTTTATCCGAAAGACAATTTATTGTTATAAACCAAATAAAAGACGTCGCTAATATACCACTGATATCTTGTTTGAATGTATTAGATCGGTGTATAGATCCTTTTAAACTTTTGAAAGATATTTATGATGTACTAGCACCTAATGGCAGAGTTTTAGTTGCGTTAGTTCTTCCATATCAGCATTACTGTGAATTTAGTAAGTTATTCTTTCAAATAACTGCATAATATATATTTTCCTATGAAACTTAAATAGCTTGGATAATTTCAAATATTTTTAGATACTTCACATATGCCGCTCCAACCTTTGTTGAATCATTGGCCAAGTAAAGCAAGGAAGCTTTCCTTTGAAACTGAAGCTATATTATTTTTTGAGACCTTAGAAAATTTTGGCTTTAAGTTAGAAGCATGGACCAAGGCGCCATATTTATGTGAAGGAGATTTAAGACAATCGTTTTACTGGTTAACTGACCTTGTAGCCGTTTTATCGAAGAAAATTAGTTAGGTAATTAGAGAAAGGGTAACAATTGTTCCAGTTTTTATGGGAAGTCCTTGTCACTGCTGGACATCGGAAACTGTGAATGCTAATCCAATTATTTATTTTATTTGAAATTTGTTTTACTACGTTTAAGATTTACATAACATTCTTCAAATTTTGTTTTTAAAAGTTTTACGGTAATTTTACTTGTCTAATTTATTCTACATATTACATAAAAATCAAGAATTTTTTTTTAGAAAATTCTAATACAAAAAATTATTTTATTTCAAATTGACATACAGTGTTGGGGTCATTAAAATATAGAAAGGGATAAATATTTATTAAAATAGGGGGAAATTTTTTTAATGTACACTAAATAGAAAAAGGATGCGTACATTGAGCGTTCCTATATGTTTTTCTTTAAAAAAAGATCAATTATATTGCTTAGAAATTTCATTTTTTTTTAATGATTTTTATAGAATTTAACATTTTATTTACAAAAACAAAACAAAAACAAAAGTCTATATGAAAAACGAGCACAAAAAGTCTACGTACAGTATATGATTTTCAGAAGAGAGCTCCCAGAAATGTACTCTCAGCTGAGTTTGTAAGAACTAGATGTTACACAACATTGGCAGTTGAAAATTATTCAAAAATGTTTTACATGACCTCAAAGGTAAAATAAATATCCGTAACAGAAAGGGTAATGATATTAAGCTTCTGGAAAGAGGGTAAAAATTTTACAGAAATAGGCAAAGTCATAAAGAGAAGACACTCTTCTGTACAAAAAGTAATAATTTTAAAGAAACAGGTTCTTTAGTCTCTAAGCCCCGTTCTGGTTGCCCATCTAAATTGACGCCTAAGGAGAAATGCGATATAGTCAAAAGTGTAAAAGTGAATCCAAAATTGACGGCTTCTGAAATTGCAAAAAATATTAAATTTAAATTTTAAAAAGCTCTTGCGCTAATACTCGTACTATGCAAAACTCTCAAAAAGGCTGCTTCTAAAGGCTGACTGGTACGTAGAAAGACATTAATATATAGTCGTGAAAAGACATATTCGTATGTCTCTTAGCTTCTAAGGGAAAGTTTTATTTTCGGATGAACGTAAATTTTGCATTTTTGGAATCAAAGGACGTCAGTTGATGTGGAGGAAATGTGAAAGCGCGCTTAAAAAAATTCACTTCCAACAGTAAAACATGGGGGAGTTGCGGTAATAATTTTGGGGTGTATGGCAGCTAGTGGGGTAGGAGTCTTAAAGTTTATAAAATTAATTATGAGAATTATCAAAAGAGAATAATTGAGATATTGACAGAAAATTTAAAGAATAGTGTTGAGAAATTAGGTCTTCAGGCAGAATATTGCTTTGAGCATGAAAATGACCCTAATCATACCGCTGAAATTGTGAAGCTGTGGCTATTGTATAATGTCAGAAAGCAGGTGCATACATCACCCCAATCTCCTGACCACAATCCTATAGAATATTTTGGGATTTATTAGAGTATAAGATCCGTAAACAAAAGAGGTTTTCGTTTATGCACGCTGCACTGAAGGTCCTAAATTAGAACTAAAATTTCTAAGTTGCAGCGTTGAACATTATGCGAAAATTTTAGCTAAGTTTCTTTTTAATTACACAGTCTAAAAATTCTGAAACTAATAATCTGTGGTTCGAAAATAACAGAAACGACATTGTACTCTTCTCTGTATCCCAGTACTCTTCGGTGCAAAATAAGAGAATTTTAACAAGATTTGAAAACTTAAAGAAAACTTACTTTAAAAACCCTTCTTAATTTGTTTAAAAATTCAGATGCTGTATGCAGACTTTTTCTGCTCGTTTTTGGTATGACATTTTGTTTTTGTTTGTTTTTTTGTGGTTTTTTTTTCTTATAAAATGAAATGTTATATTTTGAAATGTTAAATTCTATAAAAATCATTAAAAAAAATTAAAATTTCTAAACAATATAATTGATCTTTTTTTAAAGCAAAATATATAGGAACACTCAGTGTACGCCGACTTTTTCTACTAAGTGTATGTATTTTCAAATCCATACACAATTTTAAAATACCTTTATAAAGCAAACGGTTTTCGAGTTTGATTTTTAAAACCTCTGCTGCTATAGAAAGAAAAAACTAACAAACCTTTGATATAAAAGACAGCGGTTACACATCAAACAAAGTTTGATGATTTCATTTGATTGTATGAAGATTTGATGAAAATTTGATTGGTAAAGGTCCAATCAAATCAAGCAAAATCAAACAAAAAAAGAGCTTAAATTAAGAAAAATCAAGCTTCTATTTTAATCGTTTGATTTAAATTTAAAATTACAGATTGACAATCAGTATTGGGATTGATGAAGATTGACCATATAAACATCATCAATCTATCACTTTCATCAAACTATTAACTGACGAAAAAATAGATATTGGTTCTATATTCTAATAATTTTTGGTAGGAATAAAATAAAAAGTGATGTAAACACAAGTTTTTGTTTTGCTATTTGTTATTTAATAGTGGAGTAGCAGTTTTTAAATTTTAAGTACATATAGAAAGATGCAATGCAAAAGTAAATTATAATACATTTTCTTTAATCTCAATCATCATTGTAAATCTTTGACCGACACCGGCCTTAAATTAGTGATTGCTTTCCAAGGAGTGCTGTAATTTAACGTTGCAATTGGTTTCTATTTAAAAATATTTTTTTTTTAAATGTGCATACACCGTTAAATTTTAAATTTTTCCCGTAGTACTGACATTTGAACAAGTAAAAACGTTTCAGTCGGTATAAACCGATTGAATTATACCCTGCACCTTTCGTTATTGTGTAGCAATTACTCGAACCTGCAAAATCATTCTATAGAAAATTCACGGATATGTCTGACCTATAATTGGACATCCGACTGCCAAGTTTCATGAATCTGACTATTATTTTTCCAAATATTTAAAGTTAGCTTTTTGAGTTGCATGGCAAGTACCTGAACCTGTCAAGCAATTCCACTAAAACTTCACAAATATATCTGATCTGATACTTGGACACACAACTGCAAAATTCATGAATCTGACTTTATTATTTTTTAAAATATTTAGAATTAGCTTTTGGGCTTGCATGGGAGCTGCTCGAACCTGTCAAGCAATTCCATCAAAACTTCAGAAATATGTCTGACATATAATTGGACACACGACTGCCAAGTCTCTTGAATCTGACTTATTATTTTTCCAAATATTTAAAATAAGCTTTTAGACTTGTATGGGAGCTACTCGAACCTGTCAAGCAATTCCACCAAAACTTCAGAAACATATGTGACCTATAACTCGACAAATAACTGCCAAGTTTCATGAATCTGACTTTATTATTTTTCCAAATATTTCAAATTAGCTTCTGGAGTTGTACGGCAGGTACCCGAACCTGTCAAGCAATTCCTGTAAAACTTCAGAAATATATTTGACCTATAATTGGACACATGACTGTCAAGTTTCATGAATCTGACTTTATTATTTTGCCGAATATAAAAAATTTGCTGTTGGAGTTGTATGGCAGCCACCCGAACCGGGGCAGCTATCCTATTATAATTTTTAGACCATATGTAGAATATAATTGGACACATGTATACAAAATTTTATATTTATAGCTTTATTAGTTTTTGAAATATTTAAAATAAACTCTCGGAGTTGTATGGCAGCTACCCGAACCCGTTGTCCGAATTAGTCCAATAACAATAGGGTTCGTCCTTGGCACAAAAGAAAAAACTTGTGAAAGTTTGGTGTCGATTGCATTATTCGTTTTTGAGTTATCGTGCGATCGGACGGACGGACGGACGGACGGACGGACGGACGGACATGTCTAAATCGACGCAGAATTTTACGCTGAGCAAGAATATATATATATGTCCATACCGCAGATGACTCCTTCAAGTAGTTACAAACTCCATACCAAAGTTAATATACCCTTCACGAAGTGCAGGGTATAAAAATTACTAATGTTATATTTTCAATTCCGTTTGTAGTATGTACATACTTGTTTCAATTCAATTCATAAAATTACATTTGTAGTAAAAATTCATGTGAAATTTGATGTTGTTGCAATAGCAATATAAAAAATTTAAATAAACATTTTAACAGTTGAAATAAAATAGAGTTTCAAGGAAGAAGAATTATTTGGTATTTCGTATCTCGTTTTTTCCTAAAACGTATACAAAATTTATTCACTTGACACTTTGTTTTTGAAAATGAAATATTCAGTCGACAAATTGAAAAAAAATGCAAAAATCCAATTAAAAAAATGAGCAATCTTATTGGAAAAGTGAAACATGTAAGGATAATGGATAGCATCCATTAGATCTTTCCATACTGAGAATTCTTATTTGAAAATGAATAAAAAGTGAGTGTTTTGACTCTGGCTTAATTTAGCCAGGGTGTTTCTAAGCTTATAATAATTTTTTGAAAATAGGACACGGAAAATTACTTGTATACAAATAAAATAAAAAAAATGAATTATAATTCGACAACTAATTATATTTAATACCAACAATTTTATGTTCGATCGATTCGACGGTGTTTTTGCGAATGGAATATTTTAGAATTTAAGACATTGCTAATGTTAATTCAAAAAACAGTAAAATTAAGTTTAAGAGAATTTATAATACAGTAAAAAAAAATGCAAGAGAAAATAAGAAATTCGAAAATTACAAATTTACATACATGTATACACATACAATCTTACATATAAATTTATTAAAATGAGTTAAACAGTATTAGAATATATTAGAAAAAAAGTAAAGTTACAATGAACTGTCGAAATCAATCCAAAAAAAATTATAACAAAATTATTATTACTAAATCAAGTATTAACAGTGAGTAAAAAAGCATCAGGTTAATAATTTCTGTGAAAGGAATTTTGTCCATTAAAAATTTTACGTCGTAACTATATTGGTAAATCAAAGTTTTCATAATAATGGTTAAAAAAAGTCACCAATACTAAATTGGTTTATGTTAATTTGTGGATAAATATTCTCTGCTCAAAACTGAGAGCGGCTAAGTTCCCATTTTTAGATCCTTCTAGAATTATTTACATTCAAAAAAATTTAGTTCCTTAATGATATTTTTTTATATTTGTTATGTAAAGTATTTGTGAAAATAAGAATGAATTCATGAAAAAAATGTATGTAATTAAAATTAGTAATTTAGAATAATGCAAAATTAAACGCTTAAAAAATGCAATATTTGGAATATAACTATGAAGTACTGCGTTGAAAGTTGTATAGCTTACTAAAAATTTTGTTGACATACATATTGGGGC